CCCGTCAGGATTTAAGCCCCAACACACTCTCATGACAGGTGGTAGAAAATAACCAGATAATCAATTTCATCAAAATTGAAGTCTCCCAAGATAGTTTAAGTAAGACAAGTAAATAAAAGTTATGCCAAAGAGAAATAAGTTTTCCCCCTGCTAAACAAAATGTTCATCAAAAATACATTTTCAACCTTTTTTTTTCATGTACTGAAACCGTATATTCTTAACAAGCTCGTGCAGGTTGTTGGTGTCAGTTTCTTTTTCATCAAAACTTGACTAGTATTTTTCTTTGTATGGTGCAAAACTTTTTTAATGCTTGCTTGAAATGTTTTGCACAAACATCTAATGGCAGAACTTTTCTTGATTCATTCTGTACCAATGACATGACAATGGCATATCCAATATAAATATAAGGCATGGTAATGTATCACAGACAAGTTATTGTTATGTGAGTTGCACTGAAAATGGAAAGCTTTGACTCATACAAACAGTCACTTAAATGTCTTTACAGGAATCTTGAATTCATAACAGGCCTTACAGTCATTCTGTTCATTAAATAATGTCACTAAAAAGTAGCACAGTTACCTAAAGTGGCCACTCATACAAATAATGCTTACTCTGGTTGTCCTGTGGGTATTAAAAGGATTAACTCGGTCATCACCAGTTGCAAGTTGCACTTAGTGATGGGTGAAATTGCTGTAGTCAGCTCTAGTATCCCTGAATATAGGTTTAGTAATCTTCAAGGCTTATATTGCCATACCTTTTATCATAAACTGACAGTGTGGAACTAGCAGCAGCCCTGCTATTACACAGTGTGTTACACAGGTGTTGCTCAGCATTTCACAGGACATTGGAAAGTTGCAATACCAACAGATTGGGGCAGTCTGTAAGTTCTCATAGGGAAATCTTTATTAGAAAAACAGTGTTCTACACAGAGGGGGAGTTAGCAAAGCCTCTTCAGAAAGAGGCAGGATGCACCAGTGTGATTGGTGTGTGGGTGGGCAGAGTCTAAGCCAAGAATCATATGAACTACTGGTCAGAAGCATAAGGTTTCCACCAACATATTCCAGCAGCTATCTGATTTGCTGATCACACAACACTGGTGTGTGGCTGAGGTGGAGAGTGGCAGCTAGAAAGGGAGTAAGCCTGTAACCCCATTGCAGAAGAAACACCTCCTGTTATAAAATGACACCCTCACACAATAGGCTTCTGCACGATGTTCGGCACATCTGGGGCACACAAATCTTTTTTCTGGTTAAATATAGTGTTAGTACATGTATGAGAATTTTTTTTTTTGGACCAAAGTTGTCACTGTCTTTGAGACTTTTAGTAAAGAATAGGTCTAGTTGGGTGTCCTAAACAGACATGAACTGGCAAATACTTTACCATGGAAGTGACATGTCTTAACTACAAAAGCATCTTCAATTTGCCATTGCTTTTTGACTTGTGATATAAATAAGGCAGAAATCAACTAACAGATCTGGACTGATGTCACCCACAGTCCTTTCAGATATTGAGAAAAGCATTATTTTGTTTATGCTTAGCAGCTTCTGATCTTCCTAAAATGGTCCAATTCCATTCTGCATGCCAATGCCACACAGTCAAATACTGAACACTCCAAACTACTCACCACTGAGCCAGAGAGGGAGGACTGATCACCTAAGAATACTCTGCAGCTTGGAACAGACTTCATTAGCAGTCCTGTTGCTGCAGTGATCCTCTTGTACAAGGACTAACTATAGTGCTGCTTATGAATTCTGCTAGCATCTGGCCACTGCTATTAAGGCATCTCAAATAAAAATTTTCAAAGAGTCTGAGTTGACACCAGAAAGTACTGGTTTCAGCATAAAACTCAGTTCTATGCTTTCTTGTCTATGAGACTTCACAGTTCAACATTTATAGATACACCCTCTAAAGTAGACCTCTTTGGCCAGAGCTGTCACAAGTTTATTATCACTCTTTTCACAATTCCTATCCAAAGAAGATGAAATCTTGACAATAAGTCACCATGATTGATTTAATTTCTCATGCAAGTTGGAAGATTAAGGTGGGAGCTGAAAGAAGTAGCTCTTCATAGATGATTGATTAAGGATTAGGCCAACCTTTTTACAGGTGTAGTTTTAACAAACTACTGCTAAGAGTACACCATCCCACATACACCTGCTCCCAGGACTGACAGAGAAACTGTGAGAATGATGGTTTTGAAACCAGGTTGGTGACAACGAGATGTTTAAGGGTGAAAAGTGGGTTTTTTTCCTCAGAAAATTCTTTACATGGCCTCAGTGAACGTGCTTAAAACATCATCTGAATAGATGACCTCTTGGATAGGTTGCCAGTTTGGTCTCCACTCAGGTCGTAGGACTGAGTGGGAAATGAACAAGAACATTAGTTAATGCTGATGGAGGATCTCACCCTGCAGGGATCACAGATGAGTGTCCATGGAGCACTTTTGATCTACTGGCAAGGACATACAGCCTGCTGTTCTCAAGTGGCAGCCTGGGGTTGTGATCTGAGGTGTACTGGACATGAATAGATACCCATATCTCAGTGTGAAAATGGCCACATACGGCTGCAACAACGAAATCTTCCTCCGAAACTGTCGAAGCCAATAGGTAGTTATGCATTTCACTTTTTAATCCTAAGCATGCAAGCAATTAGACTCCTCACGAATTCTGACAGGTCAGAGGAAACCAACTTTGTTACCCACTAGGGTTCAGATATGGCTGTACTGCTACTGTACAGAAGGTGTCCTCCAGGGAAACCAGCCATGTCTGCAACCATAAATTACAGCACTTAAAACAAACAAATGAAAAAGCAATGAAATGAAGCAGCTTTACCCTGCTAATTTGTTTTAGTGACTTGTGTGTGGTATCTAAGTGTTCTATACCGTAAAGCTACCTGTGCCCTTTGACAAAGACATTTTAACATACAGCTTATCAACATGTTTTTCCAGACCAAAAGAACAGGAATTTAGGTTAATTTAATAGAAAAAATAAAATACGGCATAACATTGATTTTGGCCAATATCAATTACAACAGAACTACTCTATTTTACAAATAACAACTGAACATTTTACACATGTACAGTATTTTTTCAGTAAAAATGAATTTGGATATAACAATGTGTCAGTTTTTTCAAAGAAAACAAAGATATTAATTTCTTCTCTATAATAGTGTTAGAGACATTTGTAAGTATCCAAACAAATTCTTTACAATCTATTACATAATTAAATCTCAATTATGAATATATATT